GAAGCGGCCAGGTAGGCTTGGCAGCCTTGGAGCTGGGTGGTGGCTGGCGGGTACACCTCGGGCTGTACTGCCCAGCGCTCCTGGTTGTTCCTTTCGTTCTGCTCCCCCGAGGACGCCAACTCCAATGTTCACCGACTCCGGCGAGCCGGCAATGAAACGCAGGTGTCTGTTCGAATAGGCGGGATTCGCATTGACAGAGATCCCAGGAGGCAGTTCCGTTTTGCAGCTGCCTTGGCTGCTCCGCTTTTCTCTGCTGTCACCACCCTGCTTCTTCGGGAAAGAGGGAAGACCGCACGTACAGCTTTGTCTAATCCATCTTGCTGACACACGCGAAGCCATCCCGTGTTCATTTTCCTTAGGAATCAACACAGGGAAAAGAGTTATCCTAAGGAAACTCACGGAAGTCCAAGAGGGAAAACAGCTGTTCCGAGGTATCCATCGTGGTGGTGCTTACATTGCTAAAGGACAAACAATAAAAGCTCAATCAACTAATGAAGCTTTGCGCGCTTCGGATTGCCTCAGAGTTCCAGGATTTCAGCACCTAAAAAGGATGAGTTGGGTTGAAGCTCCTTCTGCTTTCAGCACATTTCTACAGTCTCAGTTCCGTACACATTCTGTAAGCAGAATGAACTGTGAGGCCATACCATCTCCTGTCTCTTGTACGATTTCTGTCCTACGTGGCTATCTCTAATTTCTTCAAAATAGGTAGGAGCTCTGAAACATCCATCCCTCTGCCCAGCTGGACAGAACGACCCCCGTGCTTTCTAAAGGAGAGGAACAGAGTCAACCTTATTCCTAAACCTTTCCTTAGGAAAGTAACTCACTTAGGTCTATGTTGACTTTTTAACTCTCAAGAGAATGTAATTTGAAGAAGATAAAATTTAGGTGCTTCTTGACAATTTAAGGATGTGTTAGTGGAGCTATTTACTCTTAAGGAACCTGTACAATTCAGACATAAATTTGGTAGTTGCTGTGATGGAGAATTAACTAATTGGTAGAGGTACCCCAGAAATAAATTTTTACAAACTTTTTTTTTTTTTTTCCTTTTCAGATATGAAACACTGTGCCCTGTGACACTTACTTTGCCGGTTCTCACCATTGAGGATGGCTGCCGTACTCTGTGAAAACTGTTCTAGTCACTACCACTACACCCAGGTCAACCAGCCTCTTGAAATCAGCTGCATGTTGCTCCTGATTATGCTCGGAAAAGTGTTCCTGGATTTCTTCATGTTGCAAGTTAAGCAAAAAAATGTGAAAGTTAGTTTTATGGGATACTTTTGCGTTTCATTGGCACTTCTCGATTTCATACTGCTCACAAGTATATCTTTCATTTTCTGTTTTGAAGACTTTGCACTCTGGGGTGTGCGATTTACAAAGTACCACATTTGCTTGTTCACTCAGGTGATTTCTCTCACCTACGGTGTTTTGTATTACCCAGTATATGTTGTGGCTGGTCTGGATTATTACATGACTATAGCCCAAACCTCTCAATTTCCTAGGAGAGGTCAAAGATTACTTTATGTATTTGCTGTGATTGTTATATGGATTTCAGGGTTTTTTTGTACTCTGAAAGTTCCCGCTACCTACGAAGAACTAGGAATTCAGGACCGTCCTTCTTATCAGTGTCCTCTCCATGCCAGCACACAGAGCTACTCAGTCTCATGTGCCATGGTGCTGCTCCTGGGCACGGCTCTCTTGGCTTGCTGGAAGGAAGTCGTAGCCATGCTGCTGTCTGTCAGGGTCGGTTCCTTCGCCAGTCAGCCTGTTCTGATGTTCTCCTATGTATCTAACAACGGCGCTTGCTTTAAGTGGCAGCTCCTGACGAGACTTGTCATCTGTTTTCTTGGCACTTGGGCACCTTTTGTTCTTCTTCAGGTGATCATTTTGTTTCTCGGTGCTGGGATTCCAGCCTACATGGAGATGAACGTCCCCTGGCTGTACTTCATCAACAGCTTTCTCATCGCCGTAGCATACTGGTGTCGATGTCATGATGTTGAATTGACAGAGGAGATGTGGTCTACAGATCCATTTGTCAGCTGGAAATTCTGCTTTATGCCATTTAACAATGAAAACACAGAGCCAGCTGATAAGCCGGGCACAGTAATTGTAATCTGTTAATGAGCTGCTGACTGAAAAGACTGCAAGTGCTGTGCGACAGAAGCGTGTACTCTGACGTTCTATCCTTACGGATAATACAAGGAAACCTCTCCAGAGCTACAGCCAGTGGAAGAAAGTTGAACATCCACCAAGACAGCAATGAGTATTGCACCAGAGCATGGGACACTGCACACGTCCACTCCGGTTCCTGGGGGCAGTAAGCACCTGCCCGTGCAGAGAATTTAACTTTGAAGTACGGGTTGGAGACAAAACCACTACTTAAAAAAAAAACATTTTCAGTTAAACCTTATGTTTAGTACTAGAATTTTACACTTGCTTTAAATGGAATGATCTCAGGTTTTATAGTACAAAATGCAATAAAGTTGTCTTCAACGCTGGAGCTTTTTATCAGTTATGTACATGTGTTAACCTGCTGTCAAAGGCGTTATGGAAAAAATGAGTCAGAAGGTGAAGAGTCGCTGTTTTGTGTTCTGGTGTACTACTCATACATACATGTATGCTCGTATCACTAACTTGCTTAGCATTAGGGGCTAACTTCACTGAAGCCTCAGGCTGCTCGCTGTGAATTTTCCACCTGGATACAGTGAGCTTCACTGAACACTTGCCAGGCTTCGCGAAGGAGGGCCCCCCGCACTGGCTTGCAGCTCGAAAATAAGGTGAAGCCATCCATGGACAGCAGGAGGGCCTCTCTGACGATAAGGGGAGAACCTTCAGCCTGTCCAGAGACAATGAAGGGGCCCAACGAGGGACAGAAGACCCAGACCCAAATAACACCACTGGATCAGCTGCCGCCTGGACAGCACATGGACTCCAGCCCGCGCAGTGAGAGTCTCAACTTGAGTGGCGGGGGGGCTGTGATTTTTTGAAGGCTACTTTCTTGTTAAAGTGTGACTTTTTGTCAGTTTAAGTTACATGTTGTTGTCTGTTTAATGAAAAATGCATTGTTTTAGTTAAAGCTACAACTCCTACAGAAATACAAACTTTGTTTACATAGCAGAAAAGCAGTGCCAGATGTGTGACTTCCACAACTACAGAAAAGGTGGTGATGTTTCATTATTTCTTTGCTACTGCTCATCTAATGTGTATATGTACATACTAAAAATTAAATAATTAGTCAGAGCAATAAGCAACAAGGTTAGTTGCTAGAGTTAAATATATGCCCCAGGCTAAAGAATGGCTTAAATTAAAATATAATTTATTTTGAAGCCAAAATTACTTTAACATAGCTAAATTTGAAGTGGGAGTACTTCAGTGGGGTAAGAATTAGTCAGCCTTCCGGCAAAAATGCTCTCTTAATTTTCAAATTTCTACAGTTTTATGAGGGTGTTGATTTAATTTGGTAGAAGAGAAATAAATGATACACACCCAAAGCAGACAAATGGAAGTAGCATTTATTTCTGAAGCACTGAACTCACAATATAATGTTGTATTGAAATAGAAACTGTAAGTAAATGATGCTGTAGGTTGGTTAATCATTCACCCAGACCCACAGGGAACAATGATACCACGCAAGAATATTCATTAAGAAAAATCTGCAGCTAACAAAAGGTGCAATTACAAGCAAGTTTAAGCAGCATAGTATAAGGTGCTTTGTTTCAGCATTTGTATGATGAATTTACCCATTAACAGACAGATTAAAGAAATTTCACTGCTACAGATCATAACAAATGAGAGAATCTAAAATTCATTCACATGCTAGTTGGTAATAGGAAAGTGCTTTTTAAAAAAATGATTCACAAAGTGAAGATCTTATTTTTACATCGTTCACTCTGTGCTCTTCAACTGTAAAATTTAATTTTTGGGTTAAAATTTACCTTATTATTTATCAATTATAGACAGATTTGATTGCAGAATTCAATGCTATGTGGACTACGTTTATTTCTTATAAAAGAATATTCTAGTATATCACTCCATAAGAATACACAATCGCATCTCAATCATATATTAATCTTACACTTCTGCAGTATATCGAAGTCCAATTATTCTGATTTATTACTTCACCCCACATAGTGCTGCTTTTACCCAGAGTCTGTAGTAAGTGTCTTTGAGGTTTCAGTGATGTAATCGAATGGACATGAGCATTTTTAAGCAGTAGAAAATGGGTTGGGGGCAATCTGTTAAAAAGACCATCAAAAGGACAGTAAATGATCAAAAACTGAATTTTAAAACTAGTGCAATAAGAGGAGGCAACGCTTAGCGAGATAGTTTGAAGTGTTTGGCACCACAGATAATTATATCCTTTATGCTGGAAAATGTATTTGGAGGAAATTCTATTTCCATGTTAAAAGCAGGAAAGTACATACAATATTAACTTGAAAAACAACCTTAAGCAATCACGCCCTGCTCTCTCAAATTGTAATTGCGGTTATTTAGCGCTACAGGATAAACCATGTCTAAAGACATTTTTTTGACACAGGTTTTATATAAACTGGACACCCACTGAAAGGGGGTTAACAAAATATTTACAAAACCTAATTCCATTTAAAAACCAGCAAATATCTCAAATATAGTAATGCACCAGGCATTTCAGAAGATCATGAAATAACTAATCCCTACAGACTCAGCAGGCAAGGGAAAATTCCTAATTTAAAATTCATTTAACACCAGATGAAGGCAAAGCTATTTTCAAGAACATACATCCCAGATGCTTCCGTTTTGTGTGGTTAGTCTCACCCTTCTGACAAATTAACATATACAGAACTGGAACTGCAAGAAGTTGGGTAAGGCTGCTGATATACTTTTTTTTTATCAGTGTGGTTCAGCTTTGCAACCCGTAATTAAAAGTTCACACAACCCCATCTTATCCTGGCATGACAGAATTCCCGTAGCTGCTGCAGTGCTTCTAAAGCCATGTTAAGTTTTTCAAATTTTGTTTTTTGCAGGGAAGCCACAATATGCAGCCAAAATAAATACTAATGTACTGATGTTACATCAGTGTTTTACTGTCAAGTTCATCCTTCCATACTCTCTGGGGAAGTGCCACAGAGCATCGATCTCCAGGCTGTCACTACACCCACCGCGTAGGTCACAGCGGCACTGCAGGTCTTCACACAGCATCCAACTGGCATCCGAGCCTGCTAAGTAACCGTTATAAAACACATTAATAGTAGCGCTCTCTGTAAGCCTGCTTTTATCCTTGACTTGTTACGGGGGGAGACACCAGTTGTGAAGCGTCCTTTACCCTATCGCCCTCCTAACCGTTCAGTCTTTTCCTCCATGCGTTTTTCATCTGGTGCTTCTGGGAAGTCCTACGCTGACCCTCGAGCCCAGCCCCATAACCATAAGCCATTACTCTGCAGAGCAGGATTACAGCGTCGCTGCCAGACAGAGAGAGAGAGGCTGTGCTAGGAAGGCGGTGGTATCTGAAATAATAACTACAACCACTGCTCTATCTCCTCTGTACATTACTTCTCGTGCTGTGCCAGCAACTAATGGCCTTACACCACTCAGATACTTTACAGGATTATTTGATATTAATGGTAACAGCAGCTAAAGCGTTAACCCTTTATGAGAAGCTTCTGTACTTTCCTCATATACAGAATCCCTTAGAAATCAACACTGATTTTAATGAGATATTCTATGTGTTTTCAACTCTAAATAGAAGCATTTGGCACTCATTAATAAACCTCTTAGTTCTTTACACACATCCTTCTTCATCAGTACCGGTTTGCTAACACTACAACACAAAGACTACTTAAAAAGGAAGCTGGGTGCGCATAATCTCCCACTGTTCTTTCAAACACCGACTCTGCAGCAAGCTGCCAGAGGATGGCAACACCCTGGCTGCCGACACAGTGGCCACGCAGCACAGAACACGAGTCTTCAAAACACAGCTACGCCTCATGAATCACTGATAGTTGTGCTTCTAGCCCAATCCCACCATCAGCAAGGATACCCTGATTTAGTACCCATGAACAATACCATAAGCCTTTCAACAACTCTGTGTAATGATACAGTGCCTTTTATGCACAATTAAAATACTCCTTATGTATTGCACTTAAACGATATTTATGATCACTATTCTACGAGTGTACAATTGTGCTCAAATTATAATTCTTTCTAGATGGAAAAAACCTCTTTAGATCTTTCTTTCTCTCCTTACTAGCTAATACATGCTGGAAGTTTAAAATTTTTTAACATGAAATCTGTCCATAACATTGACTCCCAGAACTGTGCTTTGGAACAGCTACATCAACAGCTACAAAAGCTCGGCTACAAGTCTACTACATATTTCCACATCTCTGAAGTTTGTTTTTTCCTTCCACTTAGCTACGAGATCAGTAAACCACAGGCACATCCTCCATGTGCACGAGCAGGCGTGTATAAGCTTACGTAGAGGTCACACAAACCTCCACAGCAGCTTAGGATGGGCGCCTGGAATACACGCGGAGGTGCTGACCACATGACCCAGGAGAAAAGTGTGGCACAAAACGCTCCAGCCAGCAGCCCACAGGGCAGAAATTGCATTTAGAAATCTACACGGAGAAGAAAACGGCACATGACAGAGCTCCTCCAAAGTTATGAAGGCGGTAAAACCAAAATCAGCCCGATTCACACGGGTTAGGGTAATGTGTGCTAACTGCTTTTGTATTCAGCACGTGTACCAGGCTCTGACGGCAGGGTACGGGCTGTCCATCAGCCCTTAGGGACAGCTTTTTGAAAAAGAAAGCACACCTGGCATCTACAGAGCAGGCACTTATCTCCATCATAATTACCATCTCTTTTTTTTTTTATATGTCACTATTTGCAAAGCCATCCAGTGGATGTAACTACATAGAATCAAAAGGGTATAAATAAATCCTTACGACTAAATACAAATTCCTTTAACATGAACTTAATTTAGGTTTAGCTTAAATGAACTAAGCATTAAAGGAGTTTAAATTTCTTTCCCCTTACAATATTTCCTGTCTGAAACTACAGCTTACTGTGCAAGCATAACTTCAAAATTAATTCACTATGAGCAATTACTAACACCTTACATTGAAATTATGCATTCATAGCTTTGTCCATACCTGGTTCCACTCAGCACTCAACACAAACAGTATATTTAAAACAAAATACTATAAAATGTTAGTTTCTCTCCATCTCCAATAAGCTGTTTTTGGTGAACATTAACAAGTATCCTAGATTTATTCTTTTGCAGAGTCATTGTCTGCAGCCTAGAACAACTGATGAGTAGAAGCCTGACTACTGAGTGACACATATATATCTAAATATATGCTAACAAGAAATCTCTATGCAGTACTGGTAAGAAAAAAACCCTGCAAGCTTTTATATACATGTTTAATTTTAACATGAATAGTCTCAATACAACCAGAGGAACTACTCATGTTATAAATTTTGTGGATACCTAATTATCTGCAAAACTAAGACTCACAGAAAAGCTGCCATTAAATTCTTTGATCACTTACAGCTACACATTTGTCAACATATCACAAATTTCTGAAGCTACTGAGCTGTTAAGTTTCTGCATCGATATTGTGATATCAAAATGAGAGCAGTCATCTGAAAAAGGCATTGGTTTCAGGCAGCAACACACTACACCCCGCAAAGTCTCACTACCGAAACTTCCGTTCAAGCTACAGTTGAGAAGTGGTTTTGTACCTGAACATTTCCTGACAGATAAGATCAAGATAAAGAAGTGATCCAAAAGCTATCATAAACCTGCTCAAATACTTCTTTTCATCCCATTTCTTTCCTCTTGCTGCCACATCTGCAGTTACGATGGACTCCATCTGATTCCCACTTGTGATCTGTCCAAAAAGTAGTTAGGGGGAAAAGACTGCTCTCACACGAAAGAAAGGAGGAAATGGATGCTTGCCAGACATGAACCTTCTATTCGAGATTTCTCATTGACACAAATCTAGCACAGGTTTTACCCTCCATCAGGAATTTCATTTCTGGAGAAAAGTACGAGGGATTAATGGGTGAAGAATGGATTTATCATGTAGTCTGCTTAAAAACCCTTCAAACATTCTCTGGTGACTCAAGACAACCAGCAGTTTAACTTGACAAGATGGTTGTTTTTTATTCTCTGTACAAGCAAGCTGATAAAGTCTTACGAACGTGCCAAATGCGAGGCAGCGTGGGTTGGCTGGGAGAAGTGAGCAGCTCCCTAGCAGTGCTTGTTTTTGAACAAGGAGCAGCCCAGAGCTGCCAGAGCAACTTCGCCAGCGGAGGTGGCCAAACTTCCCCGTTGGGAGTTCTCCGGTCCTGCTGCAAAGCAGGGCTGCTGACAGATGCCAGCCAGATTAAGCAGCAGGGCCTGCATGCCCGTTTTGACCATTCAGGTGTATTTCTTTAAAACCCTAAATAAACTCTGAAGCCGAGACAAGTGTAACAGTTATAATTCTACTGGAGGAAATCTTGACACTCGCATTCAGCCCAATGCTCTTGAGCTGATGCTGCAGTTTCCACTAAGGAGCAGGGTAGGATGGAAAGCAGTGGAGAAAAAGGGATACCTCTTAGCTCAACATACCTCCCTGTTGAGCTAAGATCCTACGGCATCCTGTATTCCTATAGGAAATGAAATATTGCAGGGATTACCATGAGATGCAGCCCACAACAGCAGCAGCCTGAATACAGAATACAAAACCCCAGGAAATAAAGCTAATTAAAAGGGTTTCTTGTAGACACATCCAGTGGGAGCAAGTGTTAAAAAACAGTCCATTAAAATCTGCAACAGTTCCTCTTTTGCAACAGGGTCTAGCATAATCTGTGGGGAAAGCCATGGAAAATGGTAGTATAAGCCTCGGGAAACCTCACTGATCTGAACAGAAACAAGTGACTGGTATGCAGAATGGTTCTGGAGAAATATTACTCTAAGTATTATATTGCTTTTCTGAGTAAATTCAAAAGCTTCTGAAGTAGACTCAGTTGCCTTTGGAAGTTTTCCAGCCTGCTTTCATGTACAGGTGTGATTTTTCAAAAACTGATTTTACTGACACAGCTATACTGACAAACACTCTAATACATATGCATTTCTATCAGTATAGGTTAGTATAGCTCTGTCTGCTTTTAAGTTCCTGCTTAATGCCAAAATCAGTGAAGGAGAAAAAACTTTCAATATGCATAAGGCCCACATTCTTAGTTGCTGTATTCACAAATACTTAAAGCATAACTCACTATCTGTGGCTCTCCCAAAACCACAGAAAATGTAGTGTATCAGAAGAACCAGAACAGACATGCATTAATCACGTCTACTCTGAGCTCCTGGCATCTGTCAGTGATTCTGTCCAAGAGTCGTATATAAACACTAGCTGTAGAAGTTCTCCTGAAAGCTGTCTAATAAAGCGAAATTAAAACAACCGTGAAATTCTCATGCATGTAACAACGCTGTGATTAACTGCAGGTCTAAATAAGACATACTATAACCCCACATTTTCAAATATGCTTTAAGCCATTATCAAATCACATCTACGTATACCTACTTTTTACATTGCCAAAGAACAGTACAATCAGAAGACAGATTAAAAATTAGCCAGTGAAATTTTCGTACAAAAATAACAAAACTTTAAGACAAAAGCCAAAGGATAAGTATCTAAGATATCTTTAGTCTTCAATTAGCTCATCAAAACAGAACGCATCCTTTAGAACTTATGTTACAGATATGCTACACAGTGTATCTTACAGAAATGCTACAAATGGGAACCTACTGTTGCCATCATTTGAGTTATCTTTCAAAGGAACATTGCCAAACGCTGAACCTTCAACTAAGAAGTTTATTTGACAACAGTAACTGAAGACAGAAAAAACAAATTAGAAAGTGCTTAGCAACTTCCCTCCAAAATAAATCCAGGCATCAATTAATTCTCTAAAGCCTTTGGTGCCATTTGGATAAGGGCTCTCACCACATACTAGCACGTAACAGCAATGGGTTGTCCGAACTTGGAGCTTCAGTGGTTAATAAAAATATTAATAACATCTGCTATTCATAAGCTCAAACAGTTGTATTTAAAAACAATTATTCTAATGTTGATCTCTGGAAGATAATGGTAGAAAGTCTGTTAACAGAAACAAAGCAATAGTCTAATTAAAGGAAAATGAAGCACAGATTTTTCTGTAATCCAAATTTACTCTTTAAGGTCATCAATTAAATAATATACATATTAATCTACCTTCCTCTCAGCCAGTGTATGCGCATTGACTCCTTTTGATCTAGGTCAGCAGTTCTCAAACTTTAGATCAGTTCCTCTTCTTTTCAGGAATACATCAGGGTGCCCCTGAATATCTCCCTACACAATCATATATTATGCATTAATGTGCATAAAATACAAAATACATTATTTGCAGACACATACATATATTTAATTCAAATATACACAACGACTCTATCAGCACACATACCCTTCTTTCCCTGTACAAGAGCTTAGGGATCTAGGTCTGTACATCTGGGGAGTGGAGCTGCAAAAGGGAGGGAACAGAAGGTACAAACCACATCCACGAACATCCGTACACAGGTGATGGGGAAGCAACAGCCGAGAAGGCGCTGCTGCCTCAGAGCCCAAGCAGCTTCTCAGAGTGTCAGTAACTGGGGAAACACACATCTGTTCCACGCAGAGTGCGAGAGAGGGAAGGCGGAAGGAGACACTAAAATCCCACCACCTGGTCATGCAGCATCCAAGTCAAAATCTTCTGCCAGAGGGCCAAAGCAGGGCCCAAGCAGGGCCCCGAGAGACTTCTCCCAGAGCTGCCCAGCAGTGGCACTCCTCCTGGCCACCTGCAGCTCCAGGCTCCCTTGCTGCAGCAGCAGGTCCTCTGACACCGAGCTCTGCAAGGACCTCACTGAGCAACTCACCATGCTCCTTCCTCAGACTACTGCAAGCCCAGCTCACGCTAGCCAGTGGACAAATTAAAGGTGCTTGGAAGCTTCCAGTGAAGTAATGGGAATGCACTACAGGGAAAGACAAGTTGGAAGAGGTATCAAGAAAGAGAGCATCTGAGCTATGCTTCTCTACCTCCAGCCTTTAAAGCACACTTGTCTCAACATGAGCTAGTTCTGGCTGCAGTTTTCAGCCCCTCTGCCTAGGCATTTAGGAACCTGAACCCTGAGTGTTCTCACACCTCCTCAGGATCCACTCTGAACCCCCAGTTTGAGAACTGCTGGGCTAGTTTAACTAGCAGCATGCGAAACTACAAACCTCGCAACTTAATGCCCTCTTAGTGCATAGCAGCATACAAAGAGTAAAAAAACATGTGCTTCAGTTACCTCTG